CCCAAAGACCCATCTCTGCCTGATGCCCTCAACAAGTTCTATGCACGCTTTGAAGACCCGAACAGACCACCCAGCACCAGACTCACCTCACCACCGGATGAAGAGCATCTCAGCGTGACCTCAGCAGAAGTAAGGAGTACCTTCAGGAGGATTAATCCGCACAAAGCAACTGGCCCAGACAACATCCCCGGAAAAGTGTTGAAGGAATGTGCTGATCAGCTCTGTGAGGTGCTGGCAGACATCTTTAACACCTCACTTACCCTGGAGACAGTTCCCACCTGCCTGAAGACTGCCACCATCATCCCAGTCCCAAAAAGCTCTACAGTGACTGGTCTAAATGACTATCGGCCAGTGGCCCTCACCCCGATAGTCGCTAAATGCTTTGAAAAACTGGTCATGACTCACATCAAAACAACCATCAACATCAACGAGGACCCTCATCAGTATGCATACCGTGAGAACCGATCAACAGAGGATTCAATCTCCTCTGTGGTCCACACTGCGCTCAACCACCTGGAACAGAAAAACTCTTACGTCCGTATGCTCTTTGTGGACTTCACATCTGCCTTCAACACCATGATCCCCCAAACCCTGATGGACAAACTGTCCACACTAGGACTAAGCCCCTCCATCTGCAACTGGGTACTAGACTTCTTAACAAACAGACCACAGTTAGTGAGGATCCACAACCTCTCCTCCTCCACCATAACCCTCAGCACTGGCTCTCCTCAGGGATGTGTGTTGAGCCCCCTCCTGTTTACTCTGCTCACATATGATTGTGCAGCTACCCATCCAGGCTGTCACATTGCAAAGTTTGCAGATGATACAGCGGTGGTGGGATGCATCACAAACAATGATGAGTCCAGCTACAGGCAAGAGGTGGAACACCTGGAGAGCTGGTGCAGAGAGAATAACCTTCACATCAATGTGAAGAAGACAAAGGAGATGATTGTGGACTTCAGAAGGAACAAAAACATCTACACCCCCCTGAACATAAGAGGATCTGTGGTGGAAGTGGTCTCCAGCTACAAGTACTTGGGTGTACACATGAATGACAACCTCAGCTGGAGCAACAACACCACCAGCCTGATCAAGAAAGCTCATCAGAGACTCTACTTCCTCAGACGGCTGAGGCGAGCTGGTCTGGGAAGCTCAGTCCTCACCTCCTTCTACAGGTGTGCAGTGGAGAGCATCCTGTGCTCCAGCATCAATGTGTGGCATGGAGGCTGCACAGCTGCAGAAAGAAAAGCTTTGCAGAGAGTGGTGAAGGCTGCACAGAAATCTGTTGGAATCAGTCTCCCCACCATCACAGACATCTACACCTCCAGATGCAGGAAGAGGGCCACCTGCATCATGAAGGACCCCACCCACCCAGCACACACACTTTTTGCCCCACTCCCCTCAGGAAGGAGGTTAAGGAGCATTAAGTGTAGAACCACTAGACTGAGGAACAGCTTCTACCCTGAGGCTGTTAGACTCATGAATCTCTAACCAGAATAATCACTGTGAAAAACCATATCATGTTGCTGCTGATCTGTTTCATGTTGCTGCTGATCTGTTTCAATGTTGATGTGTTCATGCGTGCACATCTGCTCACAGACTCATGTTCATGTTTGTGCTGATGTTCAATGTTTTATGTTATGAGTGCTTAGTGTATATTTAGTTGATGTTTTTCTTAGTTCATATCTTAGATGTTATTACTGTTTTTCTTAGACATTGTATTGTTGGATATAACTGGGACCCTGTGAACATAATTTCGCTCCACCACATGTACCACATGAGGTGCGAATGACAATAAAGAAACTCTGACTCTGACTCTCTGACTCTGATCTTAAAGGATGGGATAATTAAACGCAGTGGATTTAATTTGATGTCAAAGAAAGATGGAAATGCAGACGCACTTTTTAGCAAACTAATGGAACAACCAGTGATTTAAAAATTCTGTTTAATTTAAATCCTCCTTTTTTATTTGTAGGTGCGTTTAAGCAGCTGAAAGTCGCAGCGTCTCATGCCTTTTAAATTTCATCCATCAGGGCGCTTTGAAGGAAACTTCTTTATTTGACATTATTACAACCTCTGTTTGTGTTGTACCTTTTTAAATGCTATTAGTTTTGGTTTTATGTGGGTTTTTGTTCCAGCACCTAAAAAAATCAGAGCTTGAGTTAGAGCTTGCTGTCCAATACATTCCTCCTGTTATTTATTTTTTTTAATTCCTTGAATCTCACATGCTGGCTGTTCGGGTTTTAAAATTGCATCCACATTTTTCAGTACGGCGGAAACGGGCAAGGCGAATAAATCGTGATGTACGAATAAGGTGCATTAAACGCCCACTGCATGTTCATCTCGGCTGAAATAAAAATAAAATAGAACAGACGAAATCTCCGTTCTGTACAGACAGGTGCTTACTTTAGACACGTACGGGGCTTTCATGGATTTCTGACACATAAAAAGGTTTTATTGGATTTTGTGCTCAGATTTCTTGGCAAACGCCGTTTAAGTGGAATCCTTTGCATTTACAGTTTTATTTATCTGGGCAGGTTTTGGCCCAGTTTTTTCTTCATTTTGTTCAGAGGACACCACCAAAGCAGATTTCTTGTTGTGAAGGAAGGTTCTCTGCAAACTCTGCAACTTGTCTGTGACAGAGCCCGAGAGCTACTTCCCCTGGGATCAAAGCATTTTGGAAACAGTCACAAAAATGTAGACACTCATGTTGTTGTTGTTGTTGTTGTTGTTTTCATCTTCGTTCTAGCTGGAAGTGAAGTTGTCCATAACCTGCAGTTATGGACCTGAGTGAAGAGATTTTTGTTAGAAATTAAACAATGGCCCCACATTCTGTCGACCTCTCTGCTCTGATGCTTCGACTGTTGTACTTTTGATTTTTTGAGGATCTGTTGTTCCTCAGACATGAAGCTTGGTCTGTTTGACGCCTTCACGTTGTCCAGCGCAGAAGATGTGGAGCAGAAACAGGATTCTTTTTTTATTTGACGCCATGCTCGATTCATTCCAAAGAGATTTGTCTTCCCCTGACGTGGGCGTAACTGGCACGTCGATTGCTTGTAGGATTATTCTGTCAAACATAGCGATGGTTCGTCTTATTATCATCTTTAGATCGAGCTGTCGAGTCTATAAATAAAAGATGTTCAAACTAAAACACACATTAAACATTTAAACAAAATGAGAGAACCTTACGTTTTACTTTTCCACAGTTTCTAACATCCTTCTGTCAATATACCCACTGTCCCTCCTCTGGACATGTCCAAACCACTGTCCCTCCTCTGGACATGTCCAAACCACTGTCCCTCCTCTGGACATGTCCAAA